TTTCCAATCATTTCCTATGCACCTGAGAGCTGGACAATGAATAAGGTAACAGAAAAAGAATATTCCATGGATGAAAAGGAGAACAAACAGATATGTCTTGGAGAGGGTGTAGCCAGAGTACTCTTTGGAGGCAAGAATGATGTGGCTTTGCCTCAGATACTTTGAGCATGTTGCTACGAGGTGCTATTCCTTAGAAAGGGACATGATGCTAGGAAGGGTGGAAGATTGGTGAAGGAAAGGAAGACCCTCAACCAGGTGGATGAATGCAGTGACTACCACAATGGGCTCTTGTGCGTCAGCAAGTATGAGGATGCCACTTGAATAGAACAGGGGTTAGATCTTTTGTTCACAGGGTCACTATGAGTCAAACTCAACTCCATGGCACCCAACAACAACAACAACAAAAACAACAATGTGTTTATATATTATGTTTAAAGGTGGACTGAGAAGGTAAAACCACAGAGAGAAAAACTACTGATATTTTTAACAGATAATATTAGACTTCAAAGTAAGGATATTATTTTTAAATACAGATAGTTTTATTAAATATAATTTCCATAATTAATAAAATTTGTTCTAAGATCTGGGAATTTTTTTTCTTTCTGAAGATTAGCCAAGTACAAAGAAGAATATTTTTGGTTTTGGTTTTGACTGTCAAAACAGATAAAGAAGAGAATGAATCTACTTCAGTGATCCCATTCTAACCAAAATATGCCCATTACCATTCATTTGATTCTGCCAGTCACCCTGCTGGCAGAGAAGAACTGCCCATAGAGTTTCCAGTGCTAGAAATCTTCATGATAGCAGGCTTTCTCACCTTTCTCCTACAAAGCCATTGGTGGATTCCAACTACAGAGATTGTGATTAACAGCTGAGTTACTACATTACCAGGTAACACACATCAGTTTATTCCTGCTGGCATGCTTTTATATCTCTGTATATCACTGGAAAAACTGAAATAACAATAATTCATTGGAGTAGAGAATGTTCATATACGTGTATATGAGGTTTGCCAGCAGCCTCAGCTTTTCACTCTTTCTTGGAAATCACATTTCTTTAATCAACTCTTTCTTTTACCTGAGTTGAAGGGTTTAAAAAAGTTGTGTTGTCTCTCTCTCTCTCTCTTTCTCTCTCTCTCTCTCTCTTTCTCTCTCTCTCTCTCTCTTTCTCTCTCTCTCTCTCTCTTTCTCTCTCTCATCTTTGTATAGTTTTTCAGTGGAGGCAAAATATCTGGGAGTTCTGGTAGCACTGCAGTCCTGAAGTAATGAGGATCGAATTCACCAGCTGCGCTGTGGGAGAAGGAAAAACTATCTCCCTGCAATTTACTGCCTCTGAAAATCTACTGAAGGGTCAATTGTGGATTGGTTCCAATGCAATGATAACAACAACAACAAGTTGAGGAAAGTTTGCCTTGGACCTTGGATCAAATGAAGTCCTGAAAGGGAGAAAGCATAAATCTTATTAAAAATAGAAATACATTTTAGACCTAGAAAAAAACCCTTAAGATAATAAAATACAAAGTTAATCCTCAAGGAATTCCTTATATTTCTGTCTTATCCATTTTGTTTTCATTTTATGCTATAATAGGTCTATGGAAGAGGGTTATATTGAACATGCGTCTTAGTCTTAAAGTCTTGAGCACTGAATTTCAGAAGCATAACAATCAGAAAAATTTAATTACTTCCTAATTTGATTCTAGGCAGTTTTGAAGGTCTACAGATAACTTTCAAGTTTGTCCGTTTTAGCAGACTGATTTGCTCTGTAAACTTTAACTCAAACTATCAAAATTAAAGAAAAAATGCAACCTAACCTTAATTAAAAATAAGACTACTATGAATAGTTGTGTCTTGTCTTTGTGATGGCCTAGCTTTTAACTTCTCTTTAGTTAAACATGTAGAAGTAGAATATTCAGATCTTTAAAAAATAAAAAACATTGGGAATTGTATACCAATGAAAGAATTTTTCTTTTGCTTTTCAAAGAGAAGAGAGAACCGGGGGGAAGGGTAGGCAGGGAGAAAAATGCAACAATGAATGAATGGAGATCCAAAATCTCTGTAAACATTCATTAAAATTAACAAAATAAAAAAATATTGCTGGTTTTTAAAAGAAGCTTCCAATATCTATCTCCCAGAGCAGTTGTTTTTATCCCACTAGCATATTGATTAGTAATTGGGTACATAAATTGTGGGTTTTCTATACCTGAAGAGTGTTAATCAATTAAAAATTAATTAACCTATGATATAGGAGCATCAATAAATTTTAACAATTAGGCTGAATGAATGAAGTCAGGAAAAAGGAGTGAAGTATAATAATTCCATTTATATAACATTATAGAATACGGAAACTAATTTATATAACAGCAATTAGCTCTATGGTTACCTAGGGATTTGAGCAGAGAGGATGAAGGGAGGAATTATAAAGGAATGCAAGAACACTCTTGAGAATAAATGTTTTGTTATCTTGACTGAAGCAGTGATACCTTAGGTATATAAAGAAATCAATTTGTTGTTACTAGATGCTGCCTACTTGAATATGACTAATAATGACTCTATGAATGACAGATATTGTCTTTTCTTGTGAAATCCTTATCATCTCTGACATGCTTGAGTCCATTGCCATAGTCCTTGTGTCAGTTCATCTCATTGAAGGTTGTCCTCTCTTTTGCTGTTCGCTCACCTTTCCAAGCATGTTGGTTTTTTCCAAGGAATAGCCCCTACCTAACAACATGCCCAAAGTAGGCTCATTGCCTCTAAGGAGCACTCTGGCTGCATTTTCTCTAAGACCTCTTTTGTTCTTTTGGGAGTTTATAGGATATTAAATACTCTCTTCCAACACCACAACTCAAAGGAATCAGTTCTTCTTCTGTCCTAATTCCTAGTTCTCAGATGCATAGCTGTTGTTGTTGTTATGTGCCATCGAGTCGCCTGCGACTCATAGCGACCCTATGTACA